GCTACCTAGAAGCCAATCTGAAACCTGAACTATAGCCACTCACAGTTCATTTTGCTGTGTTGAATTATAGTCGATGTGATGAGTTGATCTACTTCAGGGTATTCCCAGAATTTCCTGCGAAGATTTAAAGAATCCATTTCTCTAGCTCCCTTTTCTCTTCAATCCCACCTCCATCTCTACTTGGAGTCGATGGGATGCTGCTTTTTTGCAGTCAATCGCTCAGTACAGGGCAGGCATGGTCTACAAGGGTCCACACCACAGTCTTGGCCAGACCCAGTGACCAGGAAGAATGGGTGTGGTTTTCTCCCAGTGTGTTCATGTAGAGTAGGCAGTTTTTTCTCCTTCAGTGTCACCCCTTTTTCCATTCATTTGGCTTGTGAGAGCAGGGTTTTTTTCTTTGTCTGTATCCATTGATATTTTCTGATTGTAGGCTTCCACTGAACCCAAGCCAAAACAAAGCAAAAGAAGGCAAAAAGCAAGTATAGGAAAGATCCCAGGAAGCTTACTCCCAGGATATTCTACATACCCCAGAGTGCTTAGTTTTTATTTATTTATTTATTGTTCATATTAATACATTTTATTTTATTTATTTGTTGTCTTTCAAGCTATTTTAATTTCTGTATCATTATAATGTTTTATCATCTGGTAGAGCAAATTGTCCCTGATTTATCTTCTTTTGCGGAACTTTCTTGGATATTCTCACTATTCTCACATGTTTAGTTTCTCTGCAATAAGCTAAGTGTCAGTATCTAGTTCAGAAGAGAATCCTGTTGGTTTTAATGAATCCACATTCATTCCACATACATTTATAATACGGTTTGATGAGAACCGACTTGGTTACATTGTGGAGGCTTCGATCCAACAAGAAGACCTCAGTTATTATTTATTCAAATTTTGCTTTACAACTCTTGATGAATTTTTTTGTTTTTTAGACAAGGTCTTACTCTGTCATCCAGGCTGGAGTGCAATGGCACAGTCATGGCTCACTGCAGCCTCAACCTCCCAGGCTCAAGCTATCCTCCCACTTTAGACTCCCCAGTAGCTGGGAGTACAGGTGGGCACCACCACACCAGGCTAATGCTTTGTATTTTTTTCGTAGAGACTGGGTTTCCTTAGTTTTTATTTATAATTAGCAAGAGGAATAGGGTGGGATATACTTGTCTCCATCTTGTGTGGAATTTGAGGTGCCCAAAGCAACCTTTCAAAGACAGATTTTTAATCTAAGAAACTAAAACATTTTACCACAAATACACTCTTTCAGTGAAAACTAATGTTTTATTTTTATTTTTTATTATTTTATTTTTGAGATGGAAGCTTGCTCTGTGGCCTAGGCTGGAGTACAGTGGTGCAATCTCAGCTCACTGCAACCTCTGCCTCCCAGGTTCAAGCAATTCTCCTGCCTCAGCTTCCCAAGTAGCTGGGACTACAGGCACGTGCCACCATGCCCGACTAATATTTTATATTTTTAGAAGAGACACTGTGTTAGCCAGGATGATCTTGATCTCCCGACCTCATGATCTGCCTGCCTCAGCCTCCCAAAGTGCTGGGATTACAGCAGTGAGCCACCATGCCTGGCCTGGGAAAACTAATATTTATTAAACACCTATGCGTCTATACTATATGACAAACTTCCTAACAACCCAACAAATAAGCTATTTCTTTTTTATTATAGCTGAATACACTCAGCCAGCAGATGGAAAGTAACATCTATGCTATGCTCTGTGCTTGAGGTTTTTGTTTTTAAAATGTGGAAAGCAACAAATACTGTAGCATGCAGACTATTCAATATTGGTCATTGTTTATGTATTTGTTTATTAAAGAATAAAGCCAGGCGCGGCTAATTTTTTGTGTTTTTAGTAGAGACAGGGTTTCACCACATTGGCCAACCTGGTCGCGAACTCCTAACCTCAGGTGATCCACCTGCCTTGGCATCCCAAAGTGCTGGGATTAAAGGTGTGAACCACTGCACCTCTCCTCACAGTGACAGTCTTTGAACAGTAAATATTCTCGGTCTTTGCAGGTCAGAAAGTATCTTCATTTTTTACACTGGTTTTAGAAAGAAATTGTCTGGGTTTAGAATTCTAGGTTGCTGGTTACCTTTCTTCAGCATCTTGTAGATATACCACTGTTCTGGCATCTATTGTTGCTGAGAAAAGTTGAATGTCAGTTTGATTGTCTTTTCTTTGAAGGCTCTGTTTTCTAGTAGCTTTTGAGTTTCACTAAAATGTGTCTAGATGTATATTGCTATCTAGTTTGGGAATCATTGTGCCCTTTTAATTGAAAGTATATATCTTTAGTTCTGGACACTTTTTATTATCTTTTAAATATATTTCTCCTTTCCCATCCTATGTCCTTCTTGAATGTCTTAGAAGTCTTTCATCTACCCTGCACAACTTAACATCTATTAAATCCTATTAAATCCTCCCTCTGAGGTGGAGGTTGCAGTGAGCCAAGATCACGCCACTGCACTCTAGCCTGGTGCCTGGTGACAGAGTGAGACTGTGTCAAAACAAAATAAAATATAGTCCTCCCTCTGTGCTGTGTTCTAGGTGATTTCCCCACTTTATTAAATTTTCTTTCAGTTTCATAAATTTTCTCATTAATTGTGTCTAGTCTTCGGTTTAGCCTGTCAAAATAAGATCTAAATAAGTTTTTTCTTTTAGAACTATTTTGTTTTCAAGTTTATCTGTTCTTGTTTCATAACCTCCTGTTCTTATTTATGGATTTTAGTCCATGATCTCTTTGAGCATTTCAGCATACTTCTTTCAAAGTTCTTTGTTGTTATTGTTGTTGTACTTTGGGCCCGGGGGTACATGTGCACATCCTGTGTCCTGCAGGATTGTTGCACAGGTACATACATGCCATGGTGGTTTGCTATCTCCATCACCGCCCCCCCCGCCAAATCTTTCTCTCATTTCTGATTCTTTAAGAATTTTGCCATTTGTTGGTCCTTAACATTGCATTTCCTTTAAAAATAAATAAATTTGTATCTGCAAGTTTATAGGAGTTTTCTTCTGAGAAATTTTTGTTCATGGCTTGGTTATGGATGCAGCTGCTTCCTTTGGAGAAATTTTTAGGTTATTTCTGCTGGGGCCTTATATGGTTTTCTGAAGCTGAACCAAATGTTATGTTTTGTTAAATGGGACTCCTTCACCGTGCAGATAGTATGAACTGGTTTCTGTATTCACATGCAATCACACCTCTTGTTTGTATGAGTTTGTTTCGACCAATGACCTGAGATCGGGAACTTGTTTCTTGCAATGACCCTGGACTAGTAGATACTGATTTTTCAGTCCTCATATTGGAACAGGGCTTTCCCAATTCTAAATGTGCCCATTTCTGCTCCTTACTATCCAATGTGACTGCAGCTTCAATTCTTAACATCCATTCCCCAACGTTATTGAAACACCCCAATTCCAAAGGTACAACATACCCAGTCTAGGGACCTCTATGAGCCATGTGGTTTCAAGTTCTGTGTGTCCCCTCTCTATTTCTATCACCTGCATACTTCCCTTTCTTCCTTTAGAACTTATTTTTTTCTATGGAAAAGAGATAAAGAGGAGTATTTACTGGGGAAATTTGAGTGAGGAAAAGAGGAATATTTTACCAGCATGTCCGTGTCTTTGAAGTAGGAATGGGAATATTTCCCATATATGTTCAGTCTGTATCTAAAAAGAGAAGTGAGTGCTGTTGGTATTTTTCACCTCTGTAAGTAAAATAATGTGTGAAAAATACCAACAGCACTCAGGTAAATGTCATTGTCACCGTTTTACAGATTAGGAAGCAGTTTCAGAGAGTTAACCACTTGCCCTAAGTCACAGCTAGTCATTAGTGGGGCTAGAATTTAAATTCAAAGCTATATATTACTTTGCACTATTTTTTTCTGCCTCACTGTTGTTCAATTATTTACTCAATAATTTACTTTTAATTTCACTTATATCGTTTTGCCCTTGACATCAGGTTTGGACAGTATTCCAAAGGGAAGTGGTCTGGCACAGTGGCTCACAGCTATAATCCCAGGGCTTTGGGAGGCTGAGGTGGGAAGATCTGCTTGAGGCCAGGAGTTGAGACTGGCCTGGGCAACATAGGGAGACCTCCTTGCTGCAGAGAACCAATATGCAACCTGACTAAATTTCATCTAAAAATACCTGACAATGATTGTTGCATAATGCATATTTCTTTTAGAGACTCCCCTTATTTTCATACCATAATTATCATGGGCTTCATTCTTGTCTTCTTTTTTTTTTTTTTTAAATGGGGGGACTGAGTCTTGCTGTTGTCACCCAGGCTGGAGTACAGTGGTGCAATCTTGGCTCACTTCAATCTCCAACTCCTGTGTTCAAACGAGTCTCCTACCTCAGCCTCCTGAGTAGCTGAGTCTACAGGCAGATACCACCATGCCTGGCGCGCGCGCGTGTGTGTGTGTGTGTGTGTGTGTGTGTGTGTGTGTGTGTGTGTTTATTTTTGGTAGAGTTGGGGTTTCATCATGTCGGCCAGACTGGTCTCAAGCTCCTTACCTCAAGTAATCCGCCTGCCGCAGCCTCCGAAAGTGCTGGAGTTACAAGCGTGAGCCACTGTGCCTGGCCAAGCTTTATTCGTAAATGCAACTTACTTCTGGGAAATAATTGTTTAAGGACTGTATAAAGCCTGCTTAACTAGCACCTTCCTGCAGCCCCTTCTCCCAAAATACCCTCATGCTTGGTAGCATTAGACTTAAGATTGACAGCACTTCTATGAATGGCAGACACTCAGGCTAATGGCTGTCTTTTTTACAAAATATAAAAATAATGTTGCTAGACTGATGCAGTAGCTCACCAGCACTTTGAGAGGCCAAGGCAGGAGGATTGCTTGAGCCCAGGAGTTTGAGACCAGCCTGGGCAACATAGTAAGACCTTGTCTCTTTTAAAATTCCAAAAAATCAGCTGGGCATGGTGGCATGCACCTGTAGTCTTCAGCTTCTTGGCAGAGGTGAGGCAGGAGAATCGCTTCAACCAGGAAGGTCGAGGCTGCAGTGAGCCCTTATTGTGCCACTGTACTCCAACCTGAGAGTTTTTTGTTTTTTTTTTTTAATAGTTTTGCTAGATAACTCTCCATTCCCACCCTCCCAATATGTCTGACACCACAGACTATACTCATTCCTTTGCTATTTGCAAGTTTATAGTAGCCTGCCGCAACTGCCTCATCCACAGATATAATTTTCTTCATTGTCTTTTGGAATGCATTTAACCAGTAAGCTTCTTTTAACCGATAAAAACATCTAGATTTTGTATTTTGCATAACATTGATATTCCTTTATAGTTCATATTGGATGAAATGTCTTGAACACAAGCAAGTTATCTTTTTTTTTTCCATTCTGTATGCCAGACTTTTAAAGAAAGAATCTGCGTTGAGTTCAACTTTGGCTGCTTGCTCTTCTGCTGTGAGTAGCAGTTTTCAATCAAGTTTCCAGTGGCAGCACCAGTGGGGAAAGTCTGCATTTTTTTAAGATGACCGTGACCGACCTCACTCCTAGAGCTATTGGATTCCAGCCTGTTTTGGGGGAGTTTATTATTTTGGTTATTACTTAAAGCACTTAAGTCTTCTGAATCTCACTGAGTTTTTTGTTTTGACTTTTCAAATGTTCTTCACAACTCTTTTGTAGGAAATTTAAAATGTTATACCCAGAACTGTACAAGTACTTTACTAGTGAGATTAAACTAAATGTAACAATGCAACAACAGATCAAAAGCACACTAAGATTTCACTTGTGTCAGTTTTGAAAACCCTAGACCTCTTACAGCAGCCACAGACTTGTTTCCTTTCATGCAGTTCCCCTTAAAAAGCAATTTACAGTTGTTTTTTTTCAATCCTCCGTAGATTCTGCTAAATTCGGAAGAAATTGCATGCAATCCCTGGCTTTGTTCCAGAAGTTAATTTGTGAATGAATGAAAGCCATGATCTTTGTCTTGATGTAAGTTGAAAATGAAATAATCTTTTGTTTGTATGAATATTTCCCATAGGAACAATGATATGCAGGGGTGTCCAATCTTTTGGCTTCCCTGAGTTACACTGGAAGAATTGTCTTGGGCACAAATAACATATACTAAATATAGCTGATGAGCTTAAAAGAAGAAGAAAAAAGAGCAAAAACCTCATACTCCTTTTTTTTTTTTGGAGATCTTGAAATGGAGTCTCAGGATCTAGCTCTGTCGCCCAGGCTAGAGTACAGTGGTGCCATCTTAGCTCACTGCAGCCTCCACCTCCCAGGTTCAAGTGATCCTCCTGCCTCAGCTTCCTTGGTAGTTGGGATTACAGGCATGTGCCCCCATCTCCAGCTAATTATTATATTTTTAGTAGAGACAGGGTTTTACCATGTTGGCCAGGCTGGTCTAGAACTCCTGACCTCAGGTGATCCACCCACCTCGGCCTCTCAAAGTGCTGGGATAACAGGCATGAGCCACCGTGCCCGGCCTTCTGAACACAATTTTCAACCTCTCAGACACTTTAATGCCTCGGATGTTCACTCCCTTCCCTCTTAATTCCCTGCATTTGGGCCCATATCTGGGCTCCTCAGTTCAGCAATCTTGCTGCCTAGTTGGGGAAGGGTGGAGGGTGGGGGAGAGACTTTCTTGACTCAGCGCTGGCAGGAGCAAGAAGCCAAGCACATCAGAGCTCAAGGCCAAAGTACCAGTAACTGATCTGGGACTAACTATAGGATCCCTGGCCAAAGCCAGGGAAAAGGGGGCTTTCTCTTAAAATGGTAAGACTTGCATAAAAGATGCAAGGTTAACTAAGTCCAGCATTATCCTGTAAAGGCCTAGAGTTACGGAAAGTTTCCTGAAATTTGAACAGCACAAGTTGAGAGGCAACTCTTTATCTGGATAAGGGGCATCAGGTTTCCAACGACAAAACTGGTGCCCCTCATTTAGAAAAAGGATTTAGGTGCCACTTCAGGGCGCATGAATCCATCTGAGACAAGCAGTTTGGAAGCTGAAACGGGAGCACTTATAGTGATTTACAAGGCTCTGGGATAGACTGTTGGTCAGACATTGGCCAGGGTTTGGGCTGTTTCATGGAGTATATAGGCCTCATGGGTTTCCAGATGGGGCTGGGACCATTGCTCTTTATCACACCAGGCAGGTGAGGATTGCTTTAAGTGACCTGTGGTCAGTCCCAGGTGGAAGTGGCTAGGGCCAGGGCTGTGAGGATGCTGAGGGGATGCCCAGTTCATAGGACGGGTGCGTATGTCTGCCTTAGGCTCCCAGTCTTAAAACTCTGCTCATCTCCATTCCCACTGTTTCACTTGACTAAAAAAAACCACCTCTGCACAACCTTGTGTATGTACTTAACTCATTGTATGCCTGGGAATGGTTAAAATGCTACATTTTGTATTATGTATTTTTTTCCATGATAAGCAGAAAAATTTTAGGTGACACACTCTACACAAAGCCAGTTCAGAGGGCCCATCTTCAAGCTCTGGCATTTTGTACATATCTTTAAGAACTGCACACAGCAGACATTGGAAATACTGGTTTCCATGGCAATGTGCCTTTTTGAGATAGTTAAAATTCTTTTTTTTTTTTTTGAGACTGAGTCTTTGTCGCCCCAGGCTGGAGTGCACTGGCCAATCTCAGCTGACTGCAGCCTCCGCCTCAGGTTCAAATAATTATCCTGCCTCAGCCTCCCGAGTAGCTGGGACTACAGGCACATACCACCACACCCAGCTAATTTTTATATTTTCAGTAGAGACAGGGTTTCTCCATTTTGGCTAGCTGGTCTTTAACTCCTGACCGCAAGTGATTCACCCACCTCAGCTTCTCAAAGTGCTATGATTGTAGTGGTTAGCCACCGTGCCCAACCCACCATATATTTCTTTTTTCTCGCTCTCACTCTTGCTCTCTCTCGCTCTCTGGAGATCTCTCGCTCTGTCACCCAGGCAGGAGTGCAGTGGCGTGATCTTGGCTCACTGCAACTTCCACCTCCTGAGTTCAAGTGATTCTCGTGCCTCAGCCTCCTGAGTTGCTGGGATTATAGGCACACATCACCACATCCAGCTAGTTTTTTGTATTTTTTGTGGAGATAAGTTTTCACCTTCGTCAACAGCGAAGGTGGCTTCAACCTTCTGACCTCAGGCAATCTGCCACACCTTGGCCTCCCAAAGTGCTGGCATTATAGACATGAGCCACCATGGGCCCAGCCCATATTTCTTTTTATTTGTTAAACACATACTACTTGGAAGACCCTGGCTCAGCACTAAGAATCCAATGATGGGTCAGATATGGTCTCTGCTAGAGAGACCAAAACATAGAGACAAAAACAGAGTGAACACTAAAAAATTAATTACAAATGGTGCCCAGGGTACAGGAGGAAACAAACCAAGGGCCGAGACAGAATATAACAGAGAAAGCCTATTTCATGGGGATATGAGGAAAGCATTTTTGAAATGATGAAATGCAAAGAATGACTAGGAGCCTGCAAAGCAAGGTGGCTCGGGACAGGGCTCCAGAGGGCAGTACCTTTGAGGATGAGAGCCGGGACAGGGAAAGACTGGTAAAAGCGTTAAGTAATACGTGAGCAATTTAATAGTGAAGGACAAGTGATTCACTTGACTCTTACCACCTGTGTTTGGCTCTGCTGTGTTCTAGGGCAAACTAATGGATAATAGCCATGGAAACAACCTTGGCATGCAACTATAAACACTGTAAGTAGAAAAGAATTGCTGTTTGCTTCCATTATTTACTATCATACACTTGTCCTTCCTAAACAGGAGCCATTGCAGGCCCTGCTGGCTAGCTTTTGCAGTAAGCATAGTTTCCAACTGAAGAAGGGAAGGGTCCCCAGGTCTGCAGTTACCATGGCAACAGGATATCCTGTTTTTGCTGATAGGCAAAAAATTAGCTGGACATGGTGGTGGACACCTGTAATCCCAGCTACTCGGGAGGCCTGTTGTCCAGGCTGGAGTGCAGTGTCTCAATCTCAGCTCACTGCAGCCTCTGCCTCTGGGGTTCAAGCAATTCTCGAACCTTAGCCTCCCCAGTAGCCAGGACTATAGGTGTGCACAACCACGCCCAGCTAATTTGTTATATTTTTAGTAGAGAAGGGGTTTCAGCATGTTGCAGGCTGGTCTCAAACTCCTGATCTCAGGTGATCCCCCTGCCTCAGCCTCCCAAAGTGCTGGGATTACAGGTGTCAGCCACCGCACTTGGGCCTTTGCTCTTCCCTTTTTATATTAACTAGAATGGGTACATGGTGCCTGGATAGGCAACAGCCATCCTGAGACCATGCGGATGAAAACTGAAGGAGCAGCAGGGCTTGGCATATTACCTCTGGACTTAAATGAGAAAAGATAAATTGCTATTTGATTGAACTTCCATAGCTGGCATTCAGTTACATGCAGTCTAACTCAATTCTAACAAAAAGGGCCAAAGTGGCCTTCACTGTTGACCAAGGCAACTGTTTCTTCAGCCAGTCAAAGGCAAAACTGATGGTGTAACAATGGCTGTTAGGTTGGGTGTTCTCATTGCCCTTCAGCTCCCTCTAAAACGATAAAATAAACCAAAGAAAGGCATTCTTCCAACTGAAATGCTTTTATTAGAATACTAATAAATGCAGATTAAAAAAAACTCACACACAGAAAAAGAAAGAGGAAAACACTCAGAAATGTGATTACAGGTTAGGCATATTAGAGGAAAAAGAGTTGCTCAGGGTATACAAAATGTAAACATTTTCCCTGGGATTTCCCACAGATGGCACAGTCCACATGGACTTTTTTGGAACAAATACAAGTCTGTTGAGCCTCCAGGACAGCCTCTATGTCTGCCAACTTGCCACATTGAAAGTTTAAAGTTCCTAAGAATTTCTATGCAAAAAACAAAATGGCTCCCAATCCAGGCAACTGGCACATGTGGAAGCAAAATAACCAAAGCAAATCCATCTTCCAACAGTCAGCTTCAGCTCCCTCCAGCTACTGTATTTACGTTTACCCTGACAGAGATTACAAAGATATATATATACATAGTACATAAGACCCCTAACTTGAGGCGGGGGTGTGAGATGAAATCTTTCTTGCTTATAAAATTATCTGGGGAGAGGCATCAAATCAGTCCTTTGAACTTAGCGATAGAGGACTAAGAAGAGGCCCTCTTCTGTTCAGAAAATGGAGACTCATAAACTTCCATGGGTGGGCAGGTACAAACCAGGTGCTGATCTCCATATATGTCATCAATACGGGCAATGGTTGGCCAGAATTTGTTCTCTGGTTTCACAAAGGGCTGCAAAGGACAAAAGATGGAAATGCTGTGACATGTTCTGAGAGGAAAAAAGAGGTGGAAATGCTATTCCCACAGCCTAAGACACCATCAGGCCAACAAATATTCTGAGAACCTAAAAGCTAACCTTACATTACTTTAGTTTGGATATTTAGCTGACCTCTTTTAACATAGTTCTAATTTATTTGCCATGTCATTTTCCATACAGTTCAGCTGATTTAAAAGTTAATTTCTCATACGGTGCATTAAAGTAAAAATTTGAACAATTTTTTAAAAAGTATTTTGTTTGCCCTCCTCTCCAATGACAACCATTATTCTGAATATAGGATTTACTATTCTCATTATGTTTTTATACTATCACTGCACAGATTCATAAATAGCACATAGCATAATTTGGCACATTTTGAGCCTTCTCCCTACCTCATTCAGGCACAGAACCTTCTCCATATAAGAATCAGGAGAGGAAGCTTGCATTGGGCGCCATCTCCCTGTCCCACGGTGGAGGAAAACACATTGGTCCACTGGGCAGGACTCCTATTCAGTTTTCTCCCGCTATGTTCCCTATGGCTTCCCAGACCTGTGGTTGATACTCTGTGATCTTGCCTCTGAAAGCCAATTTCTTTGCTCCTCGTTTCTCATTAAGACCCACATTTCACAAGGTGCCCCACATATGGCTTCTAAGGAGGAGGCTAAGAGTGTACACCCCTCAGGATACGAGCTGGCCCGTGCCTTCCCAGCTGGCACAAATTCAGAGAACTTACAAGTGGGAAAGCTGCCACCTCTCTGGAATAAGGCCGGTCCCAGTGGGAGGATGTAACGCAGGTCAGGGAGTGTGGAGACATCTGAGACAGAAACACAGAGGAGGGGTCAGAGCAATACACTCTTCTCCTCCCACCCTGCACCTCAGCCATCAAGCTTCTGATAGGAGACCAGGCAGAGAAAGGTGTTGTTTTCTTTCAATTTAGAGGGTACAATGTGATTTGTAATTGTGTAATATTTTAAATACCAGAATGTCATGGTAATAATAATCACATCTACCACCCAGCAAAATCTAATGAACATTCTGTCATATTTGCTTCACCTTCTAGAAAAAATTACCTATATACTTGGAGATGCCTATGTGTCCCCTTCCCAGAGCTAACCACTCTTCTGGATTTGGTGTTTACCATTCTCATCATGCTATTATACTATTACTGCATATGTTAATAAACAGCATATAGCATAATTTGGCTCATTTTAAAATGTGGTATCATCCTATGAATAGTATTACCCACTTGTATTATATCTCACTGTTACGCTCTTTAAAATGTTTATTGCCATTTAAAAAAAAAAAACAGCCTAAATCCTAAAAGAAGCAGAAGTCTCCAGAGAGAAAAGAGAAGTAAATGACGGTAAATGTAATCATCTTGTATGCCTCCATTACTCTGTGAAACTCACAGCTAGCGAGGTGCCTGCCTTCTGCAAGTTGCTGACTCCTGCCATCTCCTGCAGGTAGGCAGTTTGGGAGCCTGCCCCACCTGCTGCAGACATCTCAGACTTGTTCTATGGCTTATAGCCATGAAGACCCAACCATAGCCTTCGTGATATTCTTCACTCCTGATCTTCCAGCTTAATATCTGGTCTAACAAGAAACTTAGGACTCTGACCAGATACACAATTAACATGTTTTGGAAGAAGCAGAGCCCAGCCAACTCTTCCTCAACATGGGGCATAAACATTGTAACATTCAGTCCAAATGCCAATCCAGTTTTTTTTCTTTCTTTTTTTGAGATGAAGTCTAGCTCTGTCACCCAGGCTGGAGTGCAGTGGTGCGATCTCGGCTCACTGCAACCTCCGCCTCCCAGGTTCAAATGATTCTCCTTCCTCAGCCTCCCGAGTAGCTGGGACTATAGCACGCGCCACCACGACGGACTGATTTTTTTGTATTTTTAGTAGAGACAAGGTTTCACCTTGTTAGCCAGAATGGTCTTGATCTCCTGACCTCGTGATCTGCCCACCTAGGCCTCCCAAAGTGCTGGGATTATAGGTGTGAGCCACAGCGCCTGGCGCCAATCCAGTTTTCTCAGTGATAACTGCTCTAACATAAGAATATGTGTTTGTACAGAGTTTGTAATATGAATATGTAATTTCATTTATGCCATAATCTCACTATATCAGAGTCACAGAATGTTACAAATTCTCCAACTAGACAGCTGGAGGACAGCTTCTACAACCACATCATCCTTGAGTAATTTGTTCAAGATGATGCAAACTTCAAAGTAATAACTTCTGAGAACTGCCTTATTCTAGGGAAGAACATCATCTCCAGATGAGAGTTCAGGAGTTGCTGGTACACTGTCCAGACACCATTTTCTACTTTAAGGAGCATTTCAAGCAAAGTTCCAGGGCCTACGCACCTTCAGCGGATTGACCCTGGAGTCGATGCGGCCCTCCTCAATGTCAGCAATTTCCTGCCGAATGCTGATCATGGCATCACAGAATCTGTCCAGCTCTGCCTTGTCCTCCGACTCAGTGGGCTCAACCATGAGGGTCCCTGCCACAGGCCAGGACATGGTAGGGGCATGAAATCCTGCAAAGGGAGACAGGAGAACTTGCCTCACTGAAAGTGAGTAGGCTACCCAGTTTGGAAGAAAAGTTCCCATCCCCTCTTACACTTTATCCTAAGAAAATGAGCAGATACCTTTGCAATTATATGTATTTTGGGATTCAACTCAATGCTGTTTTTAGAAGAAAAACTCAGGAAACAACCTAATATCCAACAGTGGAGTATCAGATAAGCAAATTTTACAGAGCACCCATACAGCAGGTAGACAACCATTCAAAAGTATGTAAATTTGTTAAATTGATTAAACATTCAAAAATATTAAGTGAAAAAAGCAAGCCACAAAATGATATCCCATTTCTAGAGATAAATAAAAGGACAGAGAGAGAAAAAGATGCCTTGAAGAAAACACAAAATGTTAACTGTAAATATGGCCAGAAAATGAGACTGGGATTTTTATTTCACTTTGATTATATTTTAGAATCCTTCAGTAGTTATCATATATTACTTGCAATTAAGAGAAATACAAATATTATAGCCTATCAAAAGTTAAATCGTGAAATAACAAGTGTTACAGACCCTGGAGCAAATCTTATTGTCCCCATTTTATAAGATAAGAAAACTGAAGTTTGGCCAGTATGTGGAAAGCCTTTGCCTTTACACTGAACATGCGCTCAGTGTGTTTCTATGTTTCCAAAGGTTTTCACATGTAAGGTGATGCAACAAGACACATAGTCAAGAGAGACTTCCAGGACAGAGGTCAAAAACAACATTTTCCATTTCCTATATCTTTTCTATAAACTTTTTTTTTTTTTTTTGAGACAGGGTCTTGCTCTGTCACCCAGGCTGGAGTGCACCAGCACATTCACAGCTCACTGCAGCCTCAGCCCCCTGGGCTCAAGTGATCCACCCACCTAAGCCTTCCAAGTAGCAGAGACCACAGGTGCATGCCACCATGCCTAGCTAATTTTTGTTGTTGTTGCAGACAGTGTTTTGTCATGTTGCCCAGGCTGGTTTCCAGCTCCTGAGTTCAAGCAGTCTTCCTGCTTCTGCCTCCCATCATGCTGTGATAATAGGCATAACCCACCACACTGGGCCTATGAAACTTTTAAAAGCCAAAGAGCAACTCCCAGGTTGATACACCTCTGAACTAATCTTGTTTCAACGTGCAGTGGTTCTCAAATTCTGGTGACATCATAATTACATGGGGGTACTTGAGAGTCACATCTGCATGATTTAAGGATTCTCTACCCAACATTTTATTTTAAAACGTTGAGGCCAGGCGCTGTGGCTTACCCACCTATAATCCCAGCACTTTGGGAGGCCAAGGCCAGTAGATTACTTGAGCCCAGTAGTTTGAGACCATCCTGGGCAACATGGCAAAACCCCGCCTCTACAAAAAATACAAAAATCAGCTGGGTGTGGTGGTGTGTGCCTGTAGTCCCAGCTAGAAAGCTGAGGTAAGAGGATCACTTGAAAAGAGGTAAGGCCTGCAGTGAGTCAAGATCACAACACTGCACTCCAGCTTGGCGACAAAGTGAGACCCTGTCTCTATTAATAATAGATAAGTTGAAAGAACTGTAGGTGAGCACCCATATACCCACCACCTAGATTCTACAATGCTGTTGTTTGCTTTATCACATACCTACTCATCCAGCCAACCGTCTTACTTTTTGATGCATTTCAAAGAACACTGCAGTCGGGCTGGGCATAGTGGCTCATGCCTGTAATCCCAGCACTTTGGGAGGCCAAGGTGGATGGATCACCTGAGGTCAGGAGTTCAAGACCAGCCTGGCCAAAATGGTGAAACCCCATCTGTACTAAAAATAAAAAAATTAGCCAGGCATGGTGGCGCATGCCTGTAAACCCAGCTACTCAGGAGGCTGAAGCAGGAGAATCGCTTAAACCCGGGACACAGAGGTTGCAGTGAGTCAAGATCATGCTATTGCACTCCAACCTGGGTGACAGAGCAAGACTCCATCTCCAGAAAAAAACACCAAAGTACATTGCAGTCATTAGTACACTTCACTCTTAAACTCTTTAGCATATCATGAACTAGAATTCAGCATCTGTTCACATATTTTTGTGATAAAACTTACAGTGAAATGCACAAATCCTAACTGTACCATTTAATGAGTTTTGGTAAATGACCTTTGTCACTCAAACCAGATGGATTTTTTTTTTTTTTTTAAAGAGAACAAGCTGATTACCTATCAAGTATGCCCTTAATTCCAAGTGTGAGCAAATTCAATCCAACATATCCTGCTATAGTGGTTCCCATATTTCAAAGCACCTGATAATTTCTTGCAAAACCACAAATTCCTGCATTTGGACCCTGATTCAGGAAGGGAAGGCCCAAAAATCTATGAGTCATAAAACATGCAAGGTGATTCTGATAATTGGTCTGATAATTAGCTTGGAAACTGCTGCCTAAGGCAGTATGCCTCAAAGTTGTCTAAGAATACTCATACAGAAACTCCATGTTAAATATACAGATTATAATAAACCCTCTTCATTAAAAATTCACGTTCAGCAGGTATGCTTAAGACCTCGAAACTGTGTTGTCATGTTCATTGTTTTCTGACTTAGCTATTAATCTGGTCTCTCGTTTATTTATATATTTTTTTGAGACAGAGTCTCTGTCACGCAGGCTGGAATGCAGTGGCACGATCTCGGCTCACTGCAACCTCCACCTCCAGGGTTCAATCCATTCTCTTGCCTCAGCCCCCTGAGTAGCTGGGATTATAGGTACATGCCACCATGTCTGGCTAATTTTTGTATTTTTAGTAGAGATGGGGTTTCACCATGTTGGTCAGGCTGGTCGCTAACTCCTGACCTGTGATCCACCCTCCTTGACCTCCCAAATGCTGGGATTACAGGTGTTAGCCATGGTGCTCAGCCCTGGTCTCTCATTTATTAACACCACGAGGTGAGTATCTACTATGTGCCAGATACCTGGACAATTTTGGGCATTTGGAGAAGTGTGGAAACCATTCTATCCATCATCAAAGTAACATCAAGGTCGGGAGACAGAACATGACTTGGAAATACTGAGAGCCGCTCCTCTCCCTCCTTGCAAATACTGCTGCAGTGAGATGTGTGAAGTAGGCAAGGCATCCACAAAGAGAATGTGTTTTCCTGAATCGGTCATTACGTAATCACTAGCTAGGAGGCTGTCAGAGGAAAGGAGTTCTACTGTCAGGTGACAAGAGTTGCCCAGAGGAGATCTTGAGGATGGGCTTGGTAATTTCATTAATGAAGACTTTCTCTGGCTTTCCCATTTATTATCAGAATAACTCTGCATAATAAGATCATTCATTTGAGAGAGGAATGAGTCACACACATGGGATTCCCATTATGATGCAGTAGTGAAACTATTAAATTTAAAAGATTTTTCTCTTTTCTTCCCAAAACAAGTCATTAAAACTCAGATAAGACTCCATATTCATCAAATGGCAAAGTTCTCCCCAACTTAGCCTTTCTGATAATTGAAAGATCCTTGATACTATTATCACTTTAATATTATTATAATAGTAATATTGGCTAGGTGTGTTGGCTTACACCTGTAATCCCAGGACTTTGGGAGGCTGAAGCGGGTGGGTTCCCTGAGCTCAGGAGTTTGAGTCCAGCGTGGCCAACATGGTGAAACCCGTCTCTACTAAAAATAGTTATTAGCTGAGTGT